AGATTACGTCACTTGCTATGCGCTGGGATCATCCAATATATCAACCGTTTTCTCAACTAAACGCGATCTGCATGCAAGTGTGTCTGTTATTAAATCTCGGTGGTTTACCTCAATGCGTGACATAAAGTATCATGAACAGTAACATTTTTTTCCTTTAATTTGACATGTGCAAAGTGTAAATACTGACATTCGTGCATTTTGATACAGAAATCATCTTCTATGTTCGGCCATCTTGCTATCACAATGGCGTTATGACAATTCAATTCGCAATCACGGTGTCAACGAGACCAAGCCCAAACACAAAGAGAGGACACCTGCGGACCTTAGTTAAAACTCCTCAAAGTCTCATACATTAGTAAATAGATTTCGACAAGTAGATTTGGCATTTGACACACTCACCGAGGGTAGGGGGTCAATTCTTTCTTGGTGATTAAAGCGGGAGAGTCGTCACTTGCGCATGCGTCAGATGGCCATAGCGTGTCATTGTTTACAAACAAGCGTCTATCCATGACTGAGTCTTTGCGTTTTTAGCGTGTGTTGTTATCGTCGCCGGCTTGGGACTCAATTCCCGCGCGTGCGCAGGTGACGACCCCCACGCTTTAATCGCAGTCCGGGTAGGAGTTGAACTCGAGCCTAATGATCATGAATCCGACGCAACAACAACCACTAGTACGCCATCTCCCACTATGCTTCTCGTCCATAAACCGAGACCCCTTTCAACGTTGCAATTGTTTGTTTTTTTCAAAATTAAACGGAGAAATGATAGGAAAAATACCCTGAAATGTGCTATAAGTTGCAATAAATAAATAAATAAATAAATAAATAAATAAATAAATAAATAAATAAATAAATAAAAATTTACGTCAATCATTTCGAGGCGAATTCAAAGTTTGCGCCACTGAGCATGTTACTGTACGCATATGCAATGCATTATGGGAAATAAACTTCACAACGTATATATTGGTTTTAAACAGAAACTCACTATTTATCAATATATGAAATACCTTCACATGCCATCGGGCAAAATTAACAGATACGAAGAAATAGAAATAATGTCACCCTAGAAACCAGAGCGAAAACGCGAATTTTCTAAGACATTTTGGAAGATCATATTTCCTTTATTTTCATTTCCGGTATCTTCATAACTTGAGCTCATTGTGGCCAAGACAAACCTGAATCAATGTGAATCGCATGCACACTTGGTGTATAACTGTATCGGTATTCAAGTCAAATGTCAGAAAAGGTCTGACTTGGTGTGGTAAATGAAAAACGAAATTTATTATTTATGTAATTGCATCTTTATTTTACAGAAACGCAGAAATAATTAAACAAGTATATGAAATAAAATAATAAATTAATGACGTCAAAGTGCCAGATTTACACATTCACGGAATAATGATATTTTTAATAATTATTTGCCTCGGAACACAGACACGTCGGTCAGAAGAAGCCAGCATTGCTATGCATAGAACATACTCCAGATTTTTGTTTATGGAATCCCCAAACGGCCGTTGAATCAGTATGATTCAAATAATGATGTTTCAAGTGAAATTCATGATTTTTTTATGATATGTCAGCGTGGAGAGGTACATTTCCTTGACTTCGTTAATTTGATTGGTGGTCTGTGTAGCATCTATCTGCATCAATATTATGAAAAACGCTGTTGAACGAGGCTCGTCGTCCTCATTCACAGGTGATATCTAGTGCGTTACAAAACCGATCACGTTATGACGTACGTGTGCCATATATCAACTAGATCTATGCTTATCAAGATTTGTAGCCAACACCTCATACACGAACGTCAAAAAAAGAAAGAAATTTTAATAATCCACTACATAAATGTCATCCTTTATTCTGAACCAGTGTCGTGATTCAAATTGGCCTCGTTCCAAGGACGTCAAAGAACATCACATTATGCATTGATTTAAATTCCAGGCATGAACATGGATTTAATGGATAGTGCAAAAATATCGTTCATTTCGTCTCCATTACACCCTCGTTCGCCTCTTCGTCCCGCTGCACAAACTCGCCAAATTATTAAAATATATAAAGAATATTTTTCGCTATTAATACGAAACGTTGATTATTAACCACCCCATCCCAAATAATGGACATTTTTTAGACCATGCTTGACTCCATTCGATAAATTTGAATTCAGAATCAGTAGTGACCCCAGGTGGGCCAGGGCTTACACTTGCTACACAACATTAAATGCTAATTCCCCCGAACGACTGCATGCCAATATGCAAACCACCAATCGACTAACGGTAGGCTGAGTCATCGGCTATAGCGGTGTTGTCAATAGTAAAAACACGGAGAAAAAGAAATCCCACTCGATAAATAACCAGTCGGAGCGGGAGAAATTCAAAATTTCGACAAGCGGGTATAGAAGGCGGAAATCTAAATTAACGCTATCGTTATGAAACCACGTATGTACTTAAAAACTATAGTTACTCGTCTCTATTGCATTTATTGGTAATATAACATCTGCTACTAAAAATAATAAAATACGCCAAGCGAATAATCAAAATAGTCTTTAAAAACATTTATTACCCAAAGTATTATCCATGATACATTCTCGCAAAACCCTCAGTACGTAAACATATTTTAAAATGACTTCAGTTGAAATGTATCTTATTTTGACGTATTAATTAATATTTTATATATTTATTTTGCGATATTGTTGATTCATTCCGTCGTCTGCTTCGAAAACGAGGCAAGATCCATAGCCGAAAAATCTCGATATATATATATATAACTGCGCGGACCGTGTCGTAATAATCCATTTTCAGGGTTTAAGTACGCTTTTCTTTTCACTTGCATGGCCCCAGCAATTACTCTGAGTTGAACGTAAAACCAGTCAAGCGGAAAATGCCGTGTAGCAATCACATTCCGACATTTTACGGTTGCGCACAACAGACCCGTGTTACTGTGCGCATCCATAAATTTTACAACACACTGATAGAATACAAAAAAAGGTTGAGCATTCATCGCCTCCAAAACAAAAAAAATCTAAGCTTTTTTTTATTAGCCTATGATTACGAATGAAGTAGGAAAATAAATGTTGTTGATGGAACTACTAAATACAAATAGTATCGGTTTGGTGTTCAAACAGAGTAAATAGTCTTCATACTCAATTACATATTGGCAGGTTATAACTCAACATTGCCCGCGGCCTTCCAGTAAGCGTCCAGTGTCCCGAATGAGCGCAGAATTAGACATTCCGCGCAACTGCGTTGGGACGATAATATTCCGTTTCAATAATTGATATATGAAACTGTGTTTGTATCCTCTATTCCGCGCGTGAGGGATAATATTTGTATTTACTGAAATCACACACTTCGGTAATAATTGGTGTTAATTTTAAAAAAAAATGATTCATTCCTATTTCCTGTGTTCTCGGCGTTGTTTTCATATTATTCGAGAGAATGATCTCAATTTCGGAATTTAAAAGTCAGAATTATAAATTATTTTAAAATATTCGATAAAATACTTGACTTATACAGTAAACAAAAAAAATCAGTGAAAATGGCCAGATATACGAAAACCAATATTCTTCTTCACAGTTGACGCTGTATAATTTACTGGCATTCACGGCAAATTGAGTGACAGTCGCAGTCCCCAAGGGATTCGGCTGTTCAGTTTTTGCAATCGATTGCGAACACACCATTGCCGTTCCAAGCATTCATTAACGATATATTCTATAGAATTATGCGCAAGTATGCTAACAAGTCCACATATTGATGAACACAGGGCACTATCTTATGTAGTCACACACCTGCCCCATCAACGACGAGGCGGAGTAACGGGGAAATCGGACATCTTTTCATGGAGGATACCTCACTAATAGGCACGCGTATATGTCTTTTGTACTACACACACGCAACCCGTAACACCTTGCCAATATCGGACTGTACACACATTTGGTTTTCTTTTTAAAACGTTTCCTTTTATTTATCATCACATGGGCGATTTTTTTACTAATTTGAGTTTGAGTATATGTTCTTTTGCCCTTTTTTTTACCATGTGTTTGTTTGGCAGATTGAAACCATTGTGTAAGAATTTACTAAGATATATACTAGTATAAGTACACTGCTTCTCCTAGCGATATGACTGTTAATAACGCCATTAAAACCCAACGAGCGTACATCGTTGTCAGCAGACACCCAGCCGCATCCTAATTTTCAAATGCATCTGGGAAGTTCCCTAGGGACTCCGATTTGAATGCATTAAAGGTCAGGCTAGTTTGAAGTTAACATCAGATCATTTGTGAGTGCATAAAACAAGGCTGGGAACGCCTTGTCCATTTTAATCAGGTAAGCGATGGGGACCACGGGGGTTGGTTCTCAGTTGCCGGTGAGCTGGCCGTGTGTGAAGAGGTGCTAGTAGCGACTATTGGGTACGCGGAAACCAGTACACACCCACCCTATCGTCCAGGTTATCTCTTTGTGGATTTCATGCCAACGAATTGTGCGTTGCAACACATTTTTACTCACTAGCTTGCGACTGTGCAATCAAACGACCCACTGAAGCCTCGCATTCTGATCCAAACGTCCAGTATTATCCCTAAGCTGTAACGAGTCTAGTTATTGCGTTTCTCTGAACAGGACAGAAAGAATGTAAACGCACTTGTCCGAGGACAAGGCGCCGGTAAGAACACGGCGGAGAAGAATTTTGGATTTCTCGGAAACCGTTGAGGAGACATAAGAGCCGTTTCCACCTGGGTAAGTGGGTGAAATCTTGTAACACCTTCATCATGAGACGATTTATTGCCCACCTTTAATAAGGCACGTACACACCCTGAATTACAGCACATACTGGAGAAATATATAAAATCGATTACAGTTGATCGCAAAAACCATGAGATTCGTTTTTTTTTTCTCAAAAGACCACTCGATGCCTGGAACTGTTGTTTGCGTTCTTGATCGCCTGGTTAGGAAAACGCTCATCACCTGAGCGCTTTTCATCAACATCAGAAAAAAAATGGCTTCGGAAGGGTTGGATGGTTATGTCCTGTTCTAAGTGTTCACAGCGGTCCTTGATGTTCCACACAACGCAATTAAGGCACGCGGTGAATGCCAAGAACAAAGATATATAAAATCATCGTTTTTCACAGACTGTTTATTGACGGATGAAAGGTCGGTATACATGGGTGGCAGCGGCGCGATTACCCTGGCGGTGTTCACGATATTTTCCCAGTACTATTGCATTACATTGTAATACGTTCTTTAATACCGTCCAGGAACGTAGACATAGATTCATCATCCAATATTACTTCTTACATTGCGACATAAAAAGTTATTGTTTTGTATGTATACACGCGTGTGTATTTGATATTATAAATCTAAGATATATTTGTGTTGAAAAAATGAGAGATTGAATTGCTGCAGTCGTCGGGATGATTACTTTGGCGCCGACAATAATTAATTGACTGCATATTTTTGTTCGCAGCACGTAAACGGAATGAATGATTTATTTATTTTAGAATGTGAGTTACATAAATGTTGTCACATTTAATGTTACATTTCAAAACTGTACAGTCAGAGGCAACAATGTGAATTTGTCCACAATTGTCGCGCATCATCTGTCCAAACATCATATGTCCGCCTAATAACATGACATTTGTTTCTAAATTACACCTCTCCAGACCCATAAACGAACAATCCGTTTCAGAGTCTAAATAACTGTTTTTATTTTTTTATTTTTCGTGTCTTGCTGTATTTCTTTGGTGACAGGTGGTGAAAGATTGAAACCGTAAATTCCGTAGCGAGAAATAAACACGGTTAAAAATTACAGCTGTAAATTGTGAGCAATAAACTTTTTGGTTTTATTTAGTGACATTATACAGGAAAATTGTATTTTACATTCTCATTAGCGTGTAAGTATTCGGTGATTTATTTAAAATTATTTTATATTTTATTTGATTGAACTTCATCTGGTCACGCTATATACGAAGACGTACCACCTGGTTTGACATTGCAAATCATGCAAGTAATGACACTAAATCTGAATATACCAATAATTCGTATTAAAATTGTCTTTTCAGCATATTATAAACAATTATTTCATAATTCTTGAACTCCTCGTGGCCGAGTTATGACCGTCAGTGGGATTCGTGGTTACGTTATTGTTTTGTCCGTGAGACTGTTTTTTTATCCCTCAAATATTATGCTTAAACAGATTAGTTGAACATAGGTTGCAATGACAGGGGCAGAAACAAGTCTCGGACTTTCTCACTTTCAACGAGATCTTATTTGTGTCTGCCTACGTTGCGTAGTATTGAACTTATTTATTTAAAAGTTAGATTTGAAATATGCAATATTAAAAAAATAATCATCGCTTCTTGCATTTTTTTGAGATGCATAACTCGTTGGCCGTGTGTATCATAAAAGAGCCTCGAACAAGGCTGAATGGAATAAAAAGAAAAAAAAAACATTGTGCACCAGGAACCCAAAAACCCATAAGTACAAGGACAAAGCAATTTTTGTTTTGTTGTATAAATGCACGTGTCAATATTAAAAACGCACATTCCATGCTCTAGTAAAAAAAAAAATTACGTCTTCTGGATAAAATTACAGAATACACTGTAAATTTACAGTCTCGGTGGACACTGTCACTGAGTTCCAATGGAGATTATTTGTACATGCACGTTGTATCAGAAAGTGTTTCATTAGAGACACAGATGAATTTATCTTTAACAAAACCGTAACGATGCATTGACGGAACGATAAGATGACCTTTTCTTAAAATTAGTAATTCTGGAGCAGAAACTCCATTATTGGATTGATTGCTAAGGCGATTGATTGCTATTAACATGATGTCATCCATCTTGTGGTATTCATAAAATCATAGAAAATCATATTAAGCCATTAACCATTCCTTGTTTGCTTCCAGAGCAGACAAAGGCCACTTCATGTGTAGATTTCGCTACCAATAAATATCTCATTAGCGTTACATTCATCCATTCTCCACATGTGTGTATCCCGTGCACATTCCTCAAACATTGTGATTTTTCCTGAGGAAAATGGGATTACATTTGTATGCGCTGTTCACATCTATACGCATCTATGTGGAATTGCGATTTTTTTTTTATTATTATTCAGATTTGCCTTCAGATTTAAAATTCATCATTTTACAACCATCTCAATATGAATTTGGTTTTTGGTTAGATATATTTAAAAAAAATACACCCCTGACAATAATTTATAAATTGGGTTTGATTTGCTTTTGAACTGTTCTTAATATTTCATCGGAATCTAATATTCCAGTCTTCTTTCAGAGTATCAGGGCTATATAAGCTTAAATATATTATGATTTTCCCCCTTGTGTACGTCAGTCTCCTTTCTCATGGTATATATATATATATTGTCAGTAATGGCAGACACAGTGAGTGGCAGCACCGTGCATGCAGCCATGTCTATATCATCATTGTCTTGTACGTGCTTTTTCAGCTGCGCCTCAAATCTGACTTCTGTCTACAGCGAACGTATAGAACGGTTTGATGACATGGTTGGCAGCGGGGAGATAAAC